ATGGCTAATTTACATAACGTTATTTTTCCGTGAAAACAATGTGGAAAGATTAAAAGTCTGGCTAGCAAGCCAGCCTTTCTGTTCAACATGCTGTCTGATCATATTAACCATTTGGTAGCCGTAGGTAAAGATGTTGAGAGAAATGCGTGCTAGCTTGAAGGTAACGTCATACAGCTTTCTGGTTCATTATTATCTCAGGCAACATTAAAGTGACAGCTGGTCAACACATGTAATAAGAGAGGGAATATAAACTTAATGAAAACCAGCAGGAGCTAAACATCAGGTTCATATATTGATAATGTTACATATTTAATGATAGAAGAGAAAATATTGTCATACTTGATGACTGCATTATGATGCTCTCTCAGACCCTTCACATCACCCCTTAGTAGAACATGGTAAGCCCTGTTCTGCAAATTCATCCCATTTATAAAAAGGAACTGAAGGTTGGGAGCATGGGTTTTTCATGTTTCACTGAAGCTTTATCAAACAGTTAGAACATAAAATAGATATCGACAAGCAATTGTGTTTTTCTTATTGTTTGCACTGCTTCTTTAGTCGGTCTGAATGCTAAAATTGTCTATAAATTCACATTTTAAAGCTGATATTACAAAAAATCTTCCCGGGGGAGCATGCCCCCGTACCCCCCTTGGAGGTGTGGATCCATGACATCTTTTTGAGTTTGCACCCTGAAACTGATGTCACTGGTGGAAACCATGTGAACACTGATGGGACGGCTGGAACAGCGTGAACAAGCACGGCCTGTTAGAGTGGGCAACACCATTATCTTTATAGCTGAACCCTGAACCAAAGATTTCAAATCTAAATGACAACGGGTAGAAAAAGTACCTGATCTGTTTATCCTGCAGCAGGTAAACAGACTGTAATGCCTGCAGCAGGTAAACAGACTGTAACGCCTGCAGCAGGTAAACAGGCTGTAACGTCTGCAGCAGGTAAACAGACTGTAAAGTCTGCAGCAGGTAAACAGACTGTAACGTCTGCAGCAGGTAAACAGGCTGTAACGTCTGCAGCAGGTAAACAGGCTGTAAAGTCTGCAGCAGGTAAACAGACTGTAACGTCTGCAGCAGGTAAACAGGCTGTAACGTCTGCAGCAGGTAAACAGGCTGTAAAGTCTGCAGCAGGTAAACAGACTGTAACGTCTGCAGCAGGTAAACAGGCTGTAACGTCTGCAGCAGGTAAACGGACTGTAAAGTCTGCAGCAGGTAAACAGACTGTAACGTCTGCAGCAGGTAAACAGGCTGTAAAGTCTGCAGCAGGTAAACAGGTTGTTAGAAGTCCTTGACACTTGATTTTGGGTCATTTATTGTTTTTAATTATTAAACATTGATGGCAAACACCTTTAAACAGAGATTGGCAGTGTAAATATTTTTGTGCAATTTATGTTTATCAAAAACCGGAAAATGTCTAATAAGGGATATTCAAACACTGGCAACGTTTGACATGTGTCGTGCAAAAGTTTGCCTGCAATTTTAGTTTCATTCATTCCTTTCTTGCGCACTTTGCTGCAAATGTTTCTCTACAGAAACGTTGGTAATGTTTTTGTCCAATTTAAACCACTTGCATTTGCCTGCATTCTTTTGTTGCATCCATTGCTCACCTACACACAAATGTTGCCAATGTTTTTTGGAGCATGTATGATTTAAAAGTGGTGGTTCTGGCCCTTTAAGACAGTACCATGTAAACATGAGTTTGAGATTTAAAATGATGCTACTGGCCCTTTAAGATGATACAATGTCAGGGCGCTGATGGCGCAGTGGTTAGTGCGCCCCATGTATGGAGGCTATAGTCCTCAACGCGGGCGGCCCAGGTTCGAGTCCGGCCTGTGGCTCCTTTCCCACGTCATTCCCCTCTCTCTCCCTGATTTCCGACTCTATCCACTGTCTTATCTCTCAATTAAAGGCACAAAAGCCCCCCCCCCCACCCAAAAAAAAAAAGATGATACAATGTAAACATGAGTTTGAGATTTAAAATGATGGTACTGGCCCTTAAGATGATGCCATGTAAACATGTTTTAGAGGTTAAATTAGAGGGTACTGGCCCTTTAAGGTGATGCCTTGTAAAACAGTGTGTGTGAGTGTTTCTTTCTTATGTATATTTTTCACCTAAGGAACTAAAGATGACACATCCACTGCAGCAGTGGCTCCACCTGTGTGGTGCACTGCCAAAGGTATGACCCCGCCCCCTGATGGAGTGTGTGTTTGCTGTGAGTGTCCAGCTGCAGCTTTTATAATCAGTTACCTGTGCAGGTAGATTCATGTCAGATTGATCTGCACACTAACAGCTGACACAGAGCTCTCACCTTTGACCCACACAGCTCACCGAACATGTCTGTTCCTCACGGTGGCTTTAATAACAGATTACATTTAATGTATTTGAATATCAGACAGATAATAAATTACACACACTGAGACTCTGCAGAGGAGCAACACACACACACACACTGCACCCTTAGTCGTCTCTCTGAGCCTTTCGCTGCAAACTATTGTTTCCTCTCTGAAGTTACTCCTGTGATGCTCCTCCTCCTGCATCCCTCATCCTCATCTTTTCACTATCTTTTCCTCTTCCTCCTCTTCCTATCTCTCTTCCTCTTCCTATATACTCATCCTCCTTTTTCCTTCATTTTACTCCTCTTCTCCATCCCTCCTCCTCTTTCTCCTCCTCTTCTCTGTCCCCTCTCCTCCTCTTCCTCCCTGCCCCCTTCTCCATCTATCTGTCCTCCCTCCTCCTCCTCCTCTCTGTCCTCCCTCCTTCTTTCCTTTTCTCTGTCCTCCCTCCTCCTTCTCCTCTTCCTCTCTGCCCCTTCCTCTTTCTTCCATCTGTCTTCCCTCCTCCTTTCTGTCCTCCCTCCTTTCCTTCTTCTCTCTGTCCTCCCTCCTCCTTCTTTCTGTCCTTCTCTCCTTCTCTCTGTCCTCCCTCCTCCTCTCTGCCCCTCCTCCTTCTATCTGTCCTCCCTCCTTCTCTCCTCTCTGTCCTCCCTCCTTCTCTCCTTGTATCTGTCCTCCCTCCTTCTCTCCTCCGTCCTCCCTCCTCCTTCTTCTCTCTGTCCTCCCTCCTTCTATCTGTCCTCCCTCCTTCTCTCCTCCATCCTCCTCCTCCTTCTTCTCTCTGTCCTCCCTCCTCCTCTTCCTCCTCTTCCTCCTCATCTGTCTCTTCTCTTTCTTATGTCTGCCCCCCCCCCCCCCCCCCCCCCCCGCTCCTCCTCAGAGCCCCTGGAGGAGCACCATGTGGCTCAGTTGTTGAGGCGTTTCTCCTCAGACCTCAGCCTGGGTCGTCAGCTCTCTCTGGATGGAGCTCTGGCTCATCACCTCCATCAGTGCTCCTACCACCTGCGCCTCCTCAGAAACTGGCTCATCTCCGGCCAGGAGCCCGTAGAGTACCTCCACGGTCAGCCCCGCCCCCTCCCTGGTGCTCCTGTCTAATACAGCTCAGGGTTCATTGTGCTCGATGTGCTCGACTCTGGTGTTGCTGCATGCTGAGTGTTGTGTACGGAAGCCCTTAGCGGACAAACATCCACAGGTTTTCTCTTACTCTTTTGTCTCGTGTTAACCAACATTTCACCTGTTTCTCGAGATCTCGGGGAAACCAAACCTTTCCAGAGAGAACGAGATCAATGAGTGGAGATCTTGGGATAATGGAGTGAAATAAAACGTGTGGATGTTTGTCTGCTTAGGGCTTCCATAGCTTTGAGCTTTTGGGGATTTTTGCACCATTTCTGAGGATTTTTTAACAACACTCCAAACCAGAAGGTCAAAGGTTAAATATGACCAACTATAGCCTCTTCAGCCCTGCATTGCAAACCCATTCATGATTCCTCACAAAATCTAGATTCAGATATTTATCACCACACCTGCCACTCGGGTTTGCACAGTACCAGACATATGTAAAGGTTCTGATGTTTGATACCAAGACAACAGAAGTGTGAGACTCCAAACATTGGTATATTTGTTTTGATTCATGCAAACTGTAGAGGATCTTCTGCATGTTTGTGCTTCCCTCTCCTACACACCTGTCCTTTACTATCAATCACTCAATCAAAACAGAATGTATTGAAAAACGTGTCTTTACAACCTGACCTGTGAAAAAGCATCCATTGACTCTAACCACTGAAGTATGAGAGCAGGGAGGAGTTAGTGTGAGCCGCATCAGATATCAGCTTTAGTGTTCAAGATCAATTGACACTGTGCATACACACACACACACTGACAAACACACTGTGCACACACACACACACTCTGACAAACACACTGTGCATACACACACACACACACACACTGACAAACACACTGTGCATACACACACACACACTGACAAACACACTGTGTGCACACACACACACACTCTGACAAACACACTGTGCATACACACACACACACACACACTGTGCATACACACACACACACTGACAAACACACTGTGCACACACACACACACTCTGACAAACACACTGTGCATACACACTGTGTTCACACATACTGACAAACACACTGTGAACACACACACACATGCAGCAGCATCTTGTCTGCATCCTGCTGACTCAGCTGCTCATCCTTTAACATGGACTCTTCACATGTAGGCTGCAGAAACCTTCAGCTGTTTGTTGTCACAGTGTGCAGCTGAGGGCAGACTGATGGTTGGACCCTAGTGGAGCGGGTCAGGTGTGCCCTGGTTTTGGACTAACAGGACGAGGTGGCTGATGGTGTGTGTGTGTGTTGGACCTGAGCTGCAGTGTTCACACTCAACTGAATGCGTATTTAACAGAGAGTGGTTTTAGACGTGTGCTGACCTGTTCCTCTCTGAGTCGTGTTCAGCATGGTGTCTGCTCCTCACCTGTGACCAGGTGAGCTGGAGGGTCACTGAGGAGTTCTCAGTGTGTTGGGGGTCATGTACAGAGGCAGCAGCATGATTACTCTGGCTCCATGTTGGGGTAAAGGTTGAACTGTGATACTCTGATGACTGTTTGCTTCCTCTGTCCTCTGCAGGCTTTGATGGCTGCTCTATGGTGCCGTCCATCTATCCTCTGGAGACTCTGCACAACTCACTGTCGCTCAAACAGGTCAACGAGTTCCTGGCCGGCGTGTGTGAGAGTGCCGGGGAACCCCACACCAGGACCAGCAGAGGTCAGACAACACTCATGTTTGATTACTGGATACTTGATACCACATGTTTTATAACCATACAGTCTCTGTTGCTTTACTGACCAATCATATCGAGAAGCACTGACTCTTTAATGAGTGGAGAAGAGAACTAAGTCCACTCAAAAAAACAGGCAATCTTCTAAATTCAATGAAGACAGTGTGCTGGAGTTTGTCTTGTATTTGGTGGTTAAAACCAGGACATATCATTCTGTTACCATGGTAACAAACAGGTATGGTGTTCATGTTCTCTCTCTCACTGACTGGAATCATGTTTCTACCTGCAGCTCTGTCGGCCATGTTTGACTCACACAACCAGCCGTCAGTGGACTCTTACATCCCTCAGAGAGTCCTCTCCTCCTCCTCCAGATCTCGCTCCGACAGGCCGCCGTGGTGTGAGTGTCACACACACACACTCAGATGTCTCAGAGTTCAGGGTTTTTCCTGGCTCAGAATGGGCCTTTGGGGGGTGATTATATGCGCTGTAGTAAACGTTCGACCCGCGTATAACAGTATAGTCTGAGTCTGTATTACCTTATTTGACAGAAGTCTTTATATTTCCTGTTATTTCTGACCATTTTATAAAGAGTATTATCATTATGCTTAAGTTACTGAAACCCCAATTAAATCTGGTAAAGATTTTTTTTTTATTGCAACAGTGAAACATGGGAGGAGAGGGATTTTGAGGGAGAGGGGGGGTCACATCCTGCCAGTTCATTTCACCCTCTTCCTATGATGGATGCTCTTTTCCTTTAAATTGTGTTTTCGTTTTACATACACATTTGTTTAAGTACATTTATTTGAGTTAAGGTATTATGTCAAATAATCACAGATTTCAGTCACAGATCATTTGGATCATTTGATCAGATCAGGAAATTGAGAAATAATAAGAATATATTTGCTGGCTATACTGCAGCGCTGTCTGACAGTCTGTGTGGAGAAGGTCACAGACTACAGCTGGCTGACTTTACGATCGTTAAGTTATTGATTGTTGATAAAAGCAGACACGGAGGAAGTGGACGGAGAAAAGTTGAATGTGGGTTCCCGACTCGGTCCATATGGATAGCGGATCAAACGTGTTTCGTTGCACTACAAGTAAACAGGTGCGTGCGGTGTGTTTGCGTTTGCAGCCATGTATGTTGGTGTGTCTCGTCTCGGCGTGATGACCCGTCCCAAGTAGCCGCAGCTAGCCTACATCATACGTGGTTTAGTATAGTTTTGACATGGCTGTTGGGATAAATATTTACTGCCATGAAGTGGATTGCTCTTTGAAATTAACTCGCCAAACGGAAAATCAACCCTCATTTAACGCTTGTGGGTGTCAGCGGAGCGTCATGATGTTCCATTATTCACCATGCACCTTAATAACTTATCATTTAGTATTTGCCTACTTACACATAGCTCTGTATATATATATTGATTTCTCGTTTACTGCACATAGTTCTGTATATACAGTGGGTACGGAAAGTATTCAGACCCCTTTACGTTTTTCACTCTGTTTCATTGCAGCCATTTGCTAAAGTCAAAAAAGTTCATTTTATTTCTCATTAATGTACACTCAGCACCCCATCTTGACAGAAAAAAAACAAATGTAGAAATTTTTGCAAATTTATTAACAAAGAAAAACTGAAATATCACATGGTCATAAGTATTCAGACCCTTTGCTCAGTATTGAGTAGAAGCACCCTTTTGAGCTAGTACAGCCATGATGCAACAAGTTTTTCACACCTGGATTTGGGGATCCTCTGCCGTTCTGTCAGGTTGGATGATGAATGTTGGTGGACAGCCATTTTCAGGTCTCTCCAGAGATGCTCAATTGGGTTTAGGTCAGGGCTCTGGCTGGGCCAGTCAAGAATGGTCACAGAGTTGTTCCGAAGCCACTCCTTTGTTATTTTAGCTGTGTGCTTAGGGTCATTGTCTTGTTGGAAGGTGAACCTTCGGCCCAGTCTGAGGTCCTGAGCACTCTGGAAGAGGTTTTCTTCCAGGATATCTCTGTACTTGGCCGCATTCATCTTTTCTTCAATTGCAACCAGTCGTCCTGTCCCTGCAGCTGAAAAACACCCCCATAGCATGATGCTGCCACCACCATGTTTCACTGTTGGGATTGTATTGGGCAGGTGATGAGCAGTGCCTGGTTTTCTCCACACATACCGCTTAGAATGAAAGCCAAAAAGTTCAATCTTGGTCTCATCAGACCAGAGAATCTTCTTTCTCATAGTCTGGGAGTCCTTCATGTGTTTTTTGGCAAACTCTATGCAGGCTTTCATATGTCTTGCACTGAGGAGAGGCTTCCGTCGGGCCACTCTGCCACAAAGCCCCGACTGGTGGAGGGCTGCAGTGATAGTTGACTTTGTGGAACTTTCTTCCATCTCCCTACTGCATCTCTGGAGCTCAGCCACAGTGATCTTTGGGTTCTTCTTTACCTCTCTCACCAAGGCTCTTCTCCCACGATTGCTCAGTTTGGCTGGACGGTCAGGTCTAGGAAGAGTTCTGGTCGTCCCAAACTTCTTCCATTTAAGGATTATGGAGGCCACTGTGCTCTTAGGAACCTTGAGTGCTGCAGAAATTCTTTTGTAACCTTGGCCAGATCTGTGCCTTGCCACAATTCTGTCTCTGAGCTCCTTGGGCAGTTCCTTCGACCTCATGATTCTCATTTGCTCTGACATGCACTGTGAGCTGTAAGGTCTTATATAGACAGGTGTGTGCCTTTCCTAATCAAGTCCAATCAGTTTAATTAAACACAGCTGGACTCCAATGAAGGAGCAGAACCATCTCAAGGAGGATCAGAAGAAATGGACAGCATGTGAGTTAAATATGAGTGTCACAGCAAAGGGTCTGAATACTTAAGACCATGTGATATTTCAGTTTTTATTTTTTAATAAATTTGCAAAAATTTCTACATTTCTGTTTTTTTTCTGTCAAGATGGGGTGCTGAGTGTACATGAATGAGAAATAAAATGAACTTTTTTGATTTTAGCAAATGGCTGCAATGAAACAAAGAGTGAAAAATGTAAAGGGGTCTGAATACTTTCCGTACCCACTGTATATATATTTCTCGTTACCGCACATAGTTCTGTTTACATCTGGTCACTACTGCACATAGTTATGGTTACATCTGTTTACATCTGTCAGTCCGATCACTGTCCACTTATATCTACTCTTTTATATTTTGTATTTTTAAGTTAAGTTTAAGCTTTAAGTTGTATTTAAATTGACACTTTATATTTAGGTTAAAATGTTTTGTTTACTTGCACTGTTGTTAATTTACTGCTCTGTGTGCCTTTGAATTGCCCCCCAGGGACAAATAAAGTTTTTTGAATTGAATTGAATTGAACCAGTCAAAAGAAACAAACAGTCAATCAGCTGGCTATCCAGCACGAGCCACATGCGTAAATGGACGTTAGGGGAGATGACTGCTATAAGTCAAAGACGTCGTATTTAAGTTTATGTTCTGCTTGTTCAGCAGTCGTTTGATGTATTGATATTTTTAACATACATTCAGAGAGGATTTGATTTGCTTTTCTTTTGGCGCTCGTGATTTTCCTTTGGTGCTGGGTAAAACCTCTTTGGGGGGCGCCAAAGAATTCTCTATGCAGGAAAAACCCTGGAGTTATTTGTGGAAACATGTCGCCTGCTCGGCCTCACTTTGTTCTGTCTGTCGTCTTTTCTACTATAACTATAAAGCTTCTTTTAGACCGGGTCCTTATTTTCACAGACTCTGGTTCTTAAAGTCTGAAGAGAATCTTAAAGTTTGTTTGTGTCTGAAAAAGAGGCTGAGGTGTTTTCTCTTACCAAACACAATAGAAATGATTAAAGTATAAACTATTTAAAAAGTAATTTCGTCATCAGCACAGATTTTATAAGCTGTCACGTCTCATATCACGCCTTCATTGTTTTTGTCTGCAGACAGCAGCGGCCCCTCCTCCACCGTCTCCAGCGCCGGACCCTCCTCCCCGACCACCGCTGATACCTCTCCCCGCTTCAGCTTCAGTGACCGGATCTGTCTCACCCCGCAGAGCAGTGAGGAGACTCACCCACCTCACCCCTCTGCAGCAGGGTCACACAACGTGGATACCACAGGCCCTGCCCCCTCACAGCCCGCTGAGCTCCCTCTGACTCCAAACAACTCCCCCGAGGAGGAGTCTGACCCCACCTCCCCCCTCCTTGAGAATCCAGCCTCCGCAGAGGAGGACCCTGCAGCTCTAGAGTCCATCTGCGACCCCACCCTCAGACCAGCGTGCTCCGCCTTAGCAGAGCTGGCTCTGAGCAGGATGGAGGGCTTTTGCCCCCCTGGCTCGCTGCCCGTCCTCCTTGAGCTCAGAGAGAGCAGCAGCGAGGCCGGCTCCAGTTCCCAGACCCCCCAGAGCCCTGAGGGGCCTGATCAGTTCTTTGACACCCAGGAGTCCATGGAGCTGTGGACGGACGGGCTGGAGAGCCCCGCCCACTCTGAGACGCCACCAGAGGGCAGTGCCAAGCACACAGCAGAGCCTTAAGACGATCAGATCTGTTCAGACAGACACTTCATCTGACCACACACACACACACACACACATGTACATGCATGCACGCACACACACACACACACACACGTACATGCGCGCGTGCGCACACACACACACACACACTCACAGTCACAGACACACATGTACATGCATACACACACACACACACACACACACACACACACACACACACACACTCACAGTCACAGACACACATGTACATGCGCGCGCGCACACACACACACACACACTAACACACACACACCCACACTCACAGTCATAGACACACATGTACATGCACACACAAAGTCACAGACACACATGTACATGCACACACACACAGACACACATATACAGGAAAACGCACATACAAACCATGCACACACAGACACAACACACTGACAGACACACATACACACACACAACTCACACATACATACCTTCAAACACATAGACGCACACATTCACACACACACGCAGACATACACACACACAGCAAGGAACCTCCTGTGTATCTGAAGGATCATCAAACTGAGACGTCTCCGTTCTTAAAGCTGCAGGATCAAAGTTCAGCCAGCACAATCACCCACAGACACAATGTTACAGCTAACCTGTTACAGCTAACCTGTTTGCGCCCACAGGTAACAGTCATAGATGTTTACACGTAGATGCTGCTTTTGGGCTTCTGAGTAGCCTTTACACTGCTGCCATCTTCGAAATGGGTAGCCGCAGCTATGTAAATGTAAGTCTGTGACAGCAGGAGGTCAATACACGATTAAAATATTTAAGCAGATTCAAATGTCAGTAACAAACGTCGGACATGTATTCATGCAACTCTGCTCCTTTCTTCTCCCAGAATGATGGGAAAGTCAGACGCGTAGCAGCAGGCCAGGCAGCGTCTACGTTTACATCTACTGGTTACACCGTAATATGTTAGCATTGAGCTAACATGTTAGCGTTGAGTTAACAGGTTGCGTATCCTGTATAAACATTGAATCAGCCTGATGCTAACCATGAGTCAGCAGAAACTGTTGAGTGAATGAATCAGAGTGTGACTTTAAATAATCGATGATGTGTTGTTAAAAAGAAACAAGGAGCTAAAAGAGGCTCAAAGACTCTTCAGGCTGTGCAAGCTCTGTGTCACACGCTGATATCATCCAGCAGGAGGCGCTCCATCCTAACTGTGTGTATGTTTTTACAGGATACAGAGACTGACAGATTCTTTGAAGACAAACAGGAAATGAGCGACTCTACTCTGTGTGTCATTAGTTGTTGATTAGATAAAAAGAAATCATTTCTGTTTCAAGTGCAAGTCAAAGTGTGTGTGTGTGCGTGCGTGCGTGTGGGTGTGTGTGTGTGTGTGCGCGCGCGCGCGCCTGTGTGTGTGTCTGCGTGTGTTTGTTTCAGTGTCTGTGTGTCTGCGTGTCTGTGTGCGTGTGTCTGCATCTGTGTGTGCGCGTGTGCGTGTCTGCGTGTTTGTGTCACTGCCAAAGTCTGTACACATGGTCACAAAGTTAATTTAATCAGAATGAGAGAATATTTATTAAGAAATGCATCGAGAGACGACAATAAAATCTGGTATTTTTATACCCACCTCACAAATGTCATGAGCTGTTTGTTTTTGGAAAACCTATGAAAGCCCTTAAAAATAACCAACATTTTACTTCCTGACATTTAGCACCACTGTTAGGAATCTAAGAGACCTATTTGATCAAGACATGTCCTTTAACTCAAACATAAAACACATTTCAAGAGGAGGTGGAGCCTTCAGTTATCAGGCCTGCTCATGGTACCTACAGTCTCTAAGGGCCAGATTTACTAAGCTCCCAAGTAAAGAGTACTAAATTGCGTGTTCATTCCAAAAGTTTGCACGTTTGGTTGGTGGGCGTTTTGCGGGTGATCTACTAAGAAAATTTGCGTTAATGACGCCAGGTGTAAACCTTGTGGAGGCGGTACTATTTAAGTTAGGTTTTTGCGTGTTCTACTGGTTTACATCACGGAGAGTTTGGACAGAAAGCAGGATGACTGCAAGCGCAAAATAGGTATTAGTGAGAGAGGCAAATAAACGCAATAAATACGTTTAAGTTATAGGAGATAAATCTGAATATTACAAAGAAAATCTTGGTTATAAGAAAGCATCGGCATTAAACAGGGCCTCTCTTTTCTTCCCTTAATCTTAAGAATAAAGTGTCATACATTGCGCAGGAGGTGCGAGCTGTGTCCTCTGTGGCACGGGCGCTCTACACTCGCCGTTGTTGTGCAGCAGACAGCTGGCCAGCGCTGTATCTGATCGGACATAAATGCCCTGGAAAGAGGTATCGAAGACGGGGGTACAAACAGTGGTGAGGTCCCCCAATCAAAGCGTCCTACAGAGTAGCAGCAGCGGGCTTTAGATGGAGGAGACGAGCGCATTATGGAGAGGAGCGCACCAGAGGGGGCGAGCTGGGGGAGAGAGGCGCAACCCGAGAAAAAGGAAATCCCCGGTTTAAAATATAATGTTGGTGAAAAGAGGGAAATAGGAAGAAATAAATGTCAATGTTGAAATTCTATAGAATGCAGAGGTTGTGGACATTCAGTTTTCTTTGGCTATAGGCTATGACAACAATAGCCTGTAGTTTAATCATGGTGTTTCTCTTCCTTAACGATTAGAATATTGAATAAAATTAAAAAATAAATGCATGCCATTTATTTTTCTGTCATTTGAAACATGTAAACACTTGTGGGGAAAAACGCGATCTTTATGCCTTCTTTTGTTGTGCCTATGTCTCCTCCTAACTTCAATAACAGCAGTCTGTTGTGTGTAACACTGGTCTCCTGGGTTAGCACGTTCTTTTCAAAGGTGTTAAATACAGGAACTGTCATAGTCACCGCAATTTTTGTCAGGCTTGGTAAATCGCAATGCGTGTACTCAACTTGTTTGCATTTTCTCCCCCCAGTATTTTGAACGTTAGGGCAGAAACGCCCCATATTGCATATTCATTAAGGTAAACGTACTAAATGGTCAATGCGTGTTGTTTTGCTCATTTGAAAGACGCAGTCCTCACTGCGCGCTGTTAGTAGATCAGATAACACTTTTTTTGCTGGTCTATCAAGTTTGCACACGTTTTAAGACACGCAAACCTTTAGTAAATCTGGCCCTAAATGTACTATGGCAGGTAGAGCCTTCAGTTATCAGGCCTGCTCGTGGTACCTACAGTCTCTAAATGAAACATGACATGATGATGGTAAAGAGGACAGAAGACGGAGACATGAGTCAGTAAATGATGATTTTATTGGTCACTTATTCCCTTTTGAACAATAGATCTGTTATTTGACTTATATTTGACCTCTGAAGCCTTCAAAGAGAGGGAGTATTGCACTTAATACAAGAGATGAAAGAAGCCTGAAGCAGAAAGAGGAAGAAATGATCACGCAGCGTTCTATACAGCAGCTCACATGTTCCTCCTTCAGCTTCTTAAATATACATCTTTATTTATTATAGCATTTCTATGTTATGTATGCAGCTATTACGATACACATGCACGTACAAGCAGGGCTCACTATAACCAACTGTCTGTTTGATGAGTGCCTCCGATCTCTTTTGGTGATTGGGATATAAAGGCAGCAGGTTTTCTATGTAAGAAAAAGTACAAGATTCAAATGTGTCTGGCAGTTTGAGTCTGAGTGATGAGTGCTTCTGATTTGTTCATAATGAGCCTTTACACTGAAGCAGTATTAAACAGGAATGCAGAGTACACGTCAACCGTCATTGGCTGACTGGGTTAACAGGAAGTGATGTCACCGTTAAACCCATCAGAGAAATTGAGACTGGATTTTTCTCAGATTGGGCAGAGCTTGTCATTCCTCCTCAATGTTTGTCACACAAACTGTGAGGTCATTCCCCTCTGACATCACTCTGACGCTCCAGCTCCCTGCTGTGTTGAAGGTCTGTATTAATGTAGGAAATCTCCCGTTTCTCCCGTTTGATATTTATCTAAACGGTGCCAATGTTTTTGTGTAACCGTGTGTGAGTTTATCTGCCATGTTTGTCCAATGAATACCTCTCCTACACACCTGTCTGAAACCGCCTTTAAACCTGACTCTGCTTCCTCTTTGATTGTTGTCCAATCAGATGTTTGAATCAGTCAGCTGTTCTCTGATTGGTTGTGTCTTCTGGTTATTTCTCTTTGCTCTCTTCCTGCTCGCTTTCAGCCTGAAAACAGCCACAGCTGCTCAAACATGATTGGACGATTTTTTTTTTGTGGAACCAGAACATGAGCGTGACATCAGAGGAAAATGGCCGCCGTGTGAGTCCGATGAATTCTGACACTTTAATCAGCCGTCAAAAAAAAAGACATCTGTCAAAGTTAATCTGTTGGAGGAACTACTGCAGGTTCATCCCGCACACAGCAGTGATTTACTTCCTGTCCATGTGCCCGTATGATGCACAGTAACCAAGGCAACCAGGAGATCTAAGTCCTCCACTGAGAACATAAAGGTAAACTGCATCTTCACATTCAAACTAGAGCCGCTCGGCTCCCCGAGAAGCCGTCATCTTTCCTAACATGCGTCTGTTCATGCATCAGGAGGAATCAGAGAAAATGAAATGAAGGGCGAAGGTCATGTGACAGACGGTTTCTGTTCCTGGTTAAAAAGTTACAAACAAAACTTATCAAAGTATCAAACCGTCCGTCACACGCTGTAAGAAGAGAGTTAAAAACATCCACTGACGTCCCGCTGGAGGAAGAACAGAAGCATCGATGAAGTGACTCTTCTACAAACCCAAACGTCTGTAATAAATCAAAGAAACAACATTTCACAGGCTGAACGTCAACATGTATCTTCATACATTAAAAAAGAGCTCTGAGGTTTGCGCACGGCTTTCTGTTTGTGCTTCTTCATGTGGCAGCTGCAGGAACTGGAAACCTGAATACTGAGGTGGTGCGTTCAAAGTCCCGTTGATGAGTCACAGACAAAGCAGCTCAGCGCGACACAAAGGCACATGTGACCGTCTGCTAAAATCTCCTCCTTCAAACAGACTGAACGGACACATGCTCCTCACGCTCCTCGTCTTCCTCACTCCTCGTCTTCCTCATGTTCTTCGTATTCCTGATGAAGTTCCTCATGTTCCAGTGGATGAGTCCGACTATTTCCCTCTACATTTATAAAGATCTGTTGATGTGACTTTAGTCTCAGTTGAAAGAAACAGGAAGTGCTCCTCACCCTCCTCTACGTCCAGACGTGAAATGAAAACACAAAAAAAAGCTTTAAAAACATGACGTCGTACTTTAAGAACGGTCGGATGACGGCGTGGTTCTATTTCTGTATATTTACTAATGAAGACTCAATGAAGATCTATCACAACGTCTTCTGTCTCTCTATGTCACCACTGAACCATGAGTATGTTCTGTCAGTGAACACTGGTCTTATTAGTGATCCCCTGTGATCACATGCTAAAGAAATTACATTTGGGAATCACTGAAATCTTTCTGTTGCTTTGATGCCTTAAGGTACAAAACTTGTGCTTCCATTAAGTCTAATTAGACGTCAAGCAGCCAACCATCAGGTCCTATATTTTCCTATATAAGGTTTTTATTTATAATACAACGGGCAGTTTGTCTCCTCATAGATAATCATAGACGTCACTACAGGGATTCAAAATAAAAGCTGACAGGACGGGGTCACAATGATGCAGTGATGACAGTAAAGAACACCTGAAACCAAACAGAGCAAGTCACAACGGACTAATGAATGAAGACTGATCTGGTTCTGTTCCAGCAGAGTGTGAGGCAGACACAGAGCATCACATCAGAGCCTTCTTAAACACATCTACTTCAGGATGTTAGAACTCAATCTTGCAGGCGGGGAAAGACTCGTCCTGCATGACCACGGTGCTGCTGGAGGCCAGGACCATGACGTTCAGCTCCTGCTGCTTCTCGTGAGTCTGCTGGTACCAGTCCCGGGTCACCTCGGTGTCATGGGTTGGGATCAGAGTCACCTGAGAGATGAGAAAGCAGGAAATGTGACTCAGCTGAGAGGAAGAGTCTTTATTATACCCCCACAGAGTCCGCTGATTGACAGTTACAGGGTTTACCCAGGCGGAGTTTGCTTCAGTCATAAATTATTTCCATCAGTTAGAAGGCAGATTGGTCTGTTTGTAACCATGACCGTCATTTCTTATTTCAGGGGTGCAAACTCATCAGGGATGAAAAAGGTGACATGGATCCAAACCTCCTAGGGGGGGCATTCTCCCCTGGGCATATGTTTTTTAAATATCAGCTTTAAAATGTGAATTTACAGACGATTTTAGCATTCAGACCGACTAAAGAAGCAGTGCAAACAATAAGAAAAACACAATTGCTTGTCTATATCTATTTTATGTTCTAACTGTTTGATAAAGCTTCAGTGAAACATGAAAAACCCATGCTCCCAACCTTCAGTCCCTTTTTATAAATGGGATGAATTTGCAGAACAGGGCTTACCATGTTCTACTAAGGGGTGATGTGAAGGGCAGTCACTACAAGTAGCTCTCAGAGCAGAGTCTGAGAGAGCATCATAATGCAGTCATCAAGTATGACAATATTTTCTCTTCTATCATTAAATATGTAACATTATCAATATATTAACCTGATGTTTTGCCCCTGCTGGTTTTCATTAAGTTTATATTCCCTCTGGCCTTATTACATTTGTTGACGCTGTCACATTTACTGTCAAGTTTGCACCCCTGTTATTTCATATCAAGCCATTTCACTGAATAATAACATCTCCACTTTAAATGACAGAAAACTGACAGCACTCTTTAAAGAGCATGCAGACTGCCTCAAACCCAACCACAGTATAAGTATATCTCATATAATCTCAGCAGTCAGCCTCAGGGTGCCATCAGAGCACAATGTTACCTGCAGGTTTGATCCCCACTGAGCTTTGCCGTCCAGCAGCGCATCGAGAACACCCCGGCTAGGTTCACCACTCGCAGCATCGTTACCGCTCACCACATAGTATGCAGAGCGAACACGTTTGAAAAACTCCTGGTCCACGTTCTTGGCGCTGCAGTGGTTGGGAATGTAGGCCAAGTCCACGTAGATCGGAAGGCCAGAGGCAGCCGCAGAGCCAGACTTCTGAGAACCTGGGTCAGAGAACCAACGGGTCACTAAAAACATTTATCTTTGAGAATCAATGTGGATTGAACATCATTCATGGATTGAAGGGTTTACCTGAATTGCTCTTTACTCCATTGGTCAGCCCCTTGCTGAGGTTGTAGCTGGACCGAGAGAGGTCATCCTCTTTGGAGCCCTGTCCATCCGACAGACGGGACATACGAGAGCTCTTGTCGACATCCTTCTTCTTTAGCGAGGCACTGCGAGGAGACGCTGTTTGTTTGACCGGCATTGGGGACCTCTTGCGCCTGGCAGGGGATGCTGATTTGGTTTTCGCAGAAGTCTTCTTTAAGGTCTTGGCTTTTGGCTCTTTCTTCACAGAGCCGTTATCAATGGAGTCTGGATCCACCATGCAAACATCCGGGCGTGGAGGGTGAGGGTTGGGGTCCATGAGGGGGGTAGGTGTAGGGTCATGGCTCCTCCTGGAGGAATAATGGTTGCCTCCCCCGGCTGCAGAGAATTTATCCCCAGGCATGTAGTCTGCATCCTCATCCGATTCCAAGTTCCCCTCCCCGGAGACTGAGGGGTATTCTTCTGTGCCCGGAGGCACATCAGAGTCTGACTGAGAGGCCAGAGACTCGCTGATGGAGGTGGGCGGTGTGTCCTCTGTGGCCAGTCCCAGTCCTGCCGACATGCCTCCAGCTTGGTGCAGAGAGCTGCTGTCCCTGCTGTGAGACGGGTGTCCATGAGGGTGCTTGTGAGACCTTTTCTTAACCGACAGATCGAGATCATCGCCATCTTGTGACTGGTCGCTTCTTTGCCCTTGCTCATCATCATCTTCATCACTGGCTAACTGCCGCATGCACGGGTTGATGAAGGAAGGTGAGAGGTCCTCTTTACGCTGTCTGCACTCAGAGGAGGAGTATCCAGGAGAGGAACGACTGGTGTAAGAGGAGGTGGCTCCCAGGGACACATGACCGGGAACATCCTGATCACTGTCGTCATCATCATCATCATCATCATCATCCTGCCCTCCTTGGCTGCACTCCTCAGCGTAGAACGGAGAGCGAAATGGCTGATTGGATGAGGAGAGTGAGAGTGGGCGGGCAGGGTGCTCTGGCTCCATCTCACACTCCTCTTCAAACTCATCATCATGACGGTAATGTGGAGGAGAGTCTCCAGGCACCATCTGGCTCTTTGTCATCTCCCACTCATAGGAGCTCCTGTAGCCTGCGTCTCCCTCTCTGGGCTCCACCTTGGCTGGGCCTGATGCCCCACTTGCTGTAGCTCCAACAGGAAGGCTGGAACCTGAGATGACTTCTGTGGGGCCATTGGAAGTGTCTGGCTTGCCAGCCTGGACGGCTGAGGGCATGTAGGTGCCTAGAACATCGGGCAGTGCTCCACCTGTTTTGTCACTGGTGGTTTGGCCAACAGGCATTTCAGAAAATGAGAGTTTACCAGCAAGGCCGCTGGAAGGCGACCTGCGAGTCATGTCACGCATAAAGGCCTCCTCATCCTCTTCTTCACTGCTATCCGTCTCCTCAAAGTAATGTTTGCCTTCTATATCTGGGCGTGGTGAGGATGTAACTCCAAATAGAGCTGCACTGGCTGCCTCTTTGTCCTTGGAGAACTCTGCAGGTGGAGCAAAAGGTCCTGCTGAGGCCCCAAACCCAACAGCTGAGTCCAGCTTGGACCCTTCAGACCACTCAGGCTTATAGAAGCAGTCCAACTGAGGGCCTTTATCCGTGACTCCACCTAATGAACGCTCTTTCTTGTCCTCAGCAAAGGCAGTGGATGAGAGAGAGGGTACAGATTTGGGCTCTTCGAATGGGCTGAGGGGGGAGAAACGGGGTAAACTAGAGGAGGACTCAGCCTTGGTTGTAGCTGTCATCTGTTTTTCTGACACTTCGAGATAGTCGTCTTTAGTGCCAGCAGAGCACGAGTAGGGAGAATCGATGACCGGAGAGTGCTCATCTTTGAAGGATGAATACTCAAAGAGCGGCTCTGCAGGCGTTTCCAGCTCCTCCCCAAACTGCCGGCTGGTGGAGAGGGAGCCGGAGGTGGAGGAGGAGTAGCTGTAGGCTGAAGAGGAGGAGTAGCCTGGCCCTGCGGTGCTTGTGTACTGAAAGCTTGTGTCCAAAGATTTCTTACTCAGCAAGTCCGGTGTCTTCCGTTTGTCAAAGTCAGGATCTGCTCTGTCGTTCTGGTAATAACTGTCCTCTGATGATTTCACAGTGAAATCCTCTTTCCCTTTATCGGCAGGCAGATGTGATGAGGACGAGTCTTTAATTCCACTTTGATACGAGTACTCGTACCCTGAGAATCCTGTAGCCCCCATTCCCATGGTCCTTTCACTGAAGGGTGAGGAGTCCACCTTGTTCTTGTCTTCAGCCTTTTGGAGTGAGCTTGCACTGCTTTCTGTCACACTTGGCTTGCCCTGACTGTTAAAGCCATATCCAGCCATGGAAACCATGAATTCAGGTCTATTTGAGCCACACATTTCACTGATTGGACTTTTTACTTCCTTCTCTGATTTGTCTTTGGTGCCTTTTTCCATGTAAGAATCACCAGCACCATCTTCCTCCTCGTCCTCCTCCTCTTCGTCTTCCTCCTCCTCATCATCATCTTCATCAACAACATCATCATCATAGTCCTCCTCATCTCTTGCTGTTAGTTTTCGCATATCAACCTCCAAGCAGGCTCCTTTCTCACTGTAGCCTGTGGCAGCAGGTTTGTCTACATCTGTCATTGGGGAGGACGTTTGGGGCTTTGTGCCGTCAGTCTGACTTTTAAATGAGTCATTTTCTGATGATAAAGAAGTGGCCACTGAAGGCAACCGGCTTCCCATGCTGTATTCATATGGCTCCTCTCCTTCCACCTCCCTTTCAAATGGAGGCGTAGAGGAGGAGGAGGAGGAATGAAGCCATGAGGCAGTAGAATCTTTTCCATGAGATGTTAATCCTTCCTTCTCTGACGTCTTGTCCGTTGTTGTGACTGGGGAAGTGGACTTTTGTTTCTGAAGATCCACATCAATCTTTGCATTGTCCTTCTCTGTCTTTTCCAAGGACTCCTGCCAATATGAATCAGAGTCCACTGAGCTTGTTTTGCTGTCATAAATGTCACTGTAAGAGAATGTTTTGCCGTGCACATAGGGCGTGTCTTGTCTTATATATGCAGCCTTTTCTTTACCCTGCTTTTCAGGGAAATCATAGAGACTGAAGTGAACACTTTTCTCAGGTTCTTTGAAAGCAATATCGGTTTCGTCCGCACTTTCATCAGTTGTTAAGGGCTTAGACCCTACCCCTATTGGAAAATCATCTTCATTTTCATCTTCGTCTTCGTCTGAATACATCACTTGAGGTTTTAGTTTCTCTACTGTGCTGAAGGAAACTTGTGTTTTGTCTGAACTCTTGACTTCTGTTTCTATCTTTGTAGATTTTGCTTCAAAGGCGAAGTCTTCATCCAAGAAGCATCCCTCTTTTGCCTCCATAAGTTTGGCCTTGACAGTAGGCTTTAGATCTTTTTCAGCGTAACACTCGTCCTCTTGGTCTTCTTCAGATTCTTCTGACGCTTCAGTTTCTGTTTTGTCGCCTGGCAGTGCAATAAAGGAGGTGTTGTCAGAGACAGTGACTGTTTTAAGGGCATCAGCTTTAACATCGGTCATGGCCTCATCCTTTTCTTCTGTCCTGAAGTTCTTTTCCTCTGTCGGAGAGTAGCCGCTGCTTGTGGGCACAGACTGTGTAGGTGAGGCCATCCTCATGGTGCTGTCGTCTGGACTCAGACATCTTTCCTCACTCTCCTGCCTGGGGTGAGGCTCTAATCCCAAAGATAAAGATGGAGGGGGGGAAACAGGCTTGGTGTCAGCACTCTTAGATTGCTCTGTGCTGAAGAGAGCCTGGTTTTCTTTGACAGCCTGTGAGGGAGAGGACTGCATGGGGAAGAGGGTCTGAGAAGAGAAGGGAGCAGAGGGAGATTTATCCTTCTGCTGGAGCATCAAGGAGGCTGCATGTTCATAACCCTCCTGGAGCTTTCCCAGAGGAATGTCAACATTTGGAGTCTGGTCCTCATCCTCGTCTTCCTCATCATCTTCCTCTTCATGGACTGATTTGGTCTTGGAATCAGCCTCCATCTCAGGGATATTGGGCTGGTACTCATCAGAGGAAGGAGACTTGAAGCACTTGTCGTCCTCCAGAGACGAGGTTGGAGAGATGGTTCCTGCTGAGTGCAGATAGTCCTTACCATGGATGGCATCTGGTCGAGAGGGGACACTGTTGGTGGTGTCGAGCAGGAGAGAGTTCCTGGCAGCATCCTCGGTCTGAGGCGCTGTCACTGAGGCTATTGACTGGTCCTCAGCTACAGAAGTTGCAAATGATGAGAGTTTGTCGTACTCTGTGATGGATGTTGCGGAGGAGATGTGCTCCTCTTCTGCTAGAGGAGCAGAAATGATGGAAGGGTACGGGGCTAGCTCTGGCTCCTGACCACTCATGAAGGCTTTGGGTTTGACATCTGAGCCCTTCATCTCCTTTATACCATGCATGGAGTCAAAAGTCCCGGGGACATCAGGGATAGAGACTTCATAGGAGCCCACGTCGTAGCGCAACTGTGGGATCCTGTCTTCTGTTTCCTCGTGGATCTCCTCATCTGAGATGGTCTGTTCGGTCTCAGAGTAACCCGGGATGGTCTCATCTTGTATGAAGGAGAACTGCTCAGAGGCTGAAGCAGCTACTTTCCCGGACAAGGCTGCAGTTGAGTAAAGTTTAGCATCACTTGGCTTGTTTTCCCACTCCTTTCCACTTTTGTCCTTTTTGGCTTCGTCTGTTTTATATTTCAGGACCTCCTCATCTTCTGTTCCTTCCAGTTCAGCCTTTTCAATGACATCGCCCTCTTCCTCTGAACTTTCACTCTTCTTTGAGCTGTCTTTTATGTCAGCTTTGAGGGAGTATTTGTCATATTTCTCCATTTTCTCCTCTTCATACTTCTTGTCAAAGCCATAGCTTGTAGTTCCAGCACTTTGTCCTGATGCCGCCTTGCCTTTGTCTTCCTCCTTCTTGTCAGGGGATTTGGGGGAAGCAGGTTTCATTTCAATGGATTGAGGTGTGACCTTTTCATGAGGGAAAATTAAGGACGAAATTTTAGTATGTCCAGAGATCACATCGTTCTCGATGGGCGTACTCTTTACTTTAGACTGCTCTTGTTGTTTCAGAGCCTCAAAGTCCTCGGTCAGGTCCTCTGGGGAGGACACGATGGACCTGTCAGCCAAAGCTGCCGCAGCCACTTCCTCTGGGATGTTCTTTGGGACTGGCTTTTTAACATTGTCTGCCTCTTTCACTGCTTTATTTTTGTCTGTCTTAGGCTTGGCCTGAGTCTTAGCCTTATGCAGAGTTTTTCTAACTTCAGGAGTGAGTGGCTTCAGGTCAGGTTTGGTTATTTTTCTCAGCTCTGGTTTGCTCGGATCCTTCTTTTTATCCTCCTTGGCTTTGCTTTCTTTTTTCTCTTCTTTTCGTATATTTTCGTCTTTCTTGACCTCTCGTTTCTCTTTCTTGATTTCTTTTTTCTCTTTGTCCTTCTTTTCATCCATCTTGGATGCTTTCTCTTTTTTGGCAGTTTTGGATATTTTCTTTTTCTCTGACTTTTTGTCTGCTGCTGGGGCCACCTCACTGTTTTTCTGTTGTTTGGTGGCCTTCAGACTCTCACTTTTGGGTTTCTTCTCTTCCTTCTTGTCTGCTTTGTTCTCTTTAGTGATGTTGCTCTTTGACTCTTCCTCCTGTCCACTGGCTTCTTTCTTTGCTGTTTTAGAGTGTGGTTTAGGGGAAGATTTCAGACTCTCTTTGCTGTCAGTTCTTGATCTCATTTTAGTCTGTTTGATGATGGGGGGAGGTGCGCCAGATGATATGTCTTTTTGAGTGGCAACAGGGTATCGCAGGAAGTCGAGGTGTTTCAGTTTCTCAAGGCCCTCGAAGATTTTATTCTGCGGTGCATTTCCAGGGAAGAGCACCCTGACTATCTTTTCTGTTGGACGGTGAGGGATCCAAACAATGAGGGCAGTGACTGATGTCAAATATGGGACGGATATTTCTCCTTCCTTTCCATTGGGCAGTGTAATCCCTGTCTTGGCTTTGCTGTTTCCAGCCCATTTCTGCATTAAAAACTGCATCTCCTTGCTCTCCTTCACAGGATTCAACACGTACATGTCTAACTTCCCCACGCCCAGTTTGTGGAACAGTGTGATGGGTTCAATGGTGTTGCTGACCACTCTGTGCAGAGGCTCTGGTGTGATTCCAAGCTTGTTGAGGTACTGTAACGTCAGAGATGCTTCTTCGATGCTTCTCTTCACTTTCAGCGTGGACTCAGGCATTCGCAGTTTCTCTGGGACATTGAAAAACACGATCCCAAGCTCAGGAGAAATCAGGTTCTTCACCCAGTCCCCATTACTGCTGGAACCAGATCCTTGGTTACGTTCCTCCTCCTGCTCTGCAATCTTTCTCTGAAACAACCCGTTGATGCCGGGGAGATTGTCTGCACCAATATGGGTGAGCAGAACTGAGTCGATCCTGTCCAGGTGGCGAACCAGTTTCCAGAAGCAAGACTTCCGGTCAGATCCTCCATCCACCAGGATGTTGAATCCATTCACAGCGAACAGAGCGGAGTCTCCTCGGCCTCCAGGGAAGATGTAGCAACAGGGTTTGGACAGCTTCAGAAAACCTCCAGAGTTCGGGGGCTCCAGGAGGTCAAAGGATGACGGCACGTCCACAGTCTCTGAGACATACTCGCTGAACTCATTGACTCCGTCCATGTCTGGGAGGTGGGGTTCAGGGTTCAAGCGGTATTCCAGAAGATTCTGGATTGACTGCTGCTCCTGGCTTTGGCCAAGGGAACTCCAGCCCCCGTCTCCCTGACAGGAAACAGTAAGCCTTGACAGCTGCTGTGAAGATGATCTGGACAGGTGCTCAATCACCTACAAACATGGGAAACAGTAAAAAGCAGTCTTTGTGAGATGTACTGTTTATCCATGCACACACACGAGGGGTAAGGGTGTTTTAAGAGAGAGGACACTGTGCTTACTTCAGGGTTTGAGATAATGTCTGAGAAGTGCTGCCAGGTGAACGCTCCGCCTCGCAGTAGGATGTCACCTCCCTGTTCAGAGATCTGTCCGCTCAGAATCAGCAGCTTATGTCCCGCACAGTCCGTGATCAGAGAGCGAATCTGAGCATAGAACAGAGTAAAAACTATCATAGCTGAGGATCTTAATACCTTTTCAGCAAAAAGTTCCATTATAAACCAGATCTAACTAAAACATCCAATGTTTATATTCTGAAGGGATAAAAAAATCTCTGGGGAACGATCGCAAGCAGCTCTTTCGGTAAGCGTTTTATTTGAATGACCAGAGCCCACGACATGTCAGAGATTCAATATTTCACTTCACTTCCCATCTTAATTTTTACACAGCAGCCATCTTTTTCTGATGTCAGAGGCATGTCCAGGGGTGGCATGGGCCCCCATAGAAGTCTGTTTGGCCATCCCAGTTGATACTCCATAATACCAAACTATGATTGGACTTAAGTTAAAATCAACAGATTTTAAGAATGTAATACTATATTATACAACCTGACTTTTGACACATTGAGGACGGAGACCTTGGATGGAGCTGGCCCATTTATAAATACTCACTTTTAACACAAACAGTGGCTAAAATGTGCATGAGTGAAATAATTTAATAAGCTCATGATTATGGTTTATTACGCTCTTCTTATAATACAAATACAACATCATAGTTAACTGTGTCTAAGTGAGCAGGAGAAAAAACTATAAACTAAAACATAAACTCATGTCAGCGACTCACAGCCTGAGCTAACAAGTTAACACCTGACTCATTTTCACAGAACACGTAAAGTCTTGTGCAAGTAGTTTGCACAAATGATGTGACAAACAGTTTGAGTTTTTCAGACATTTTTGATTATTGCAAACAAATATATTTCCCAATGTTGGGTGCCAAGGACTTCTACTTTTGTGGCAGTCGTAAAAAAAATTGTATTGATATAATTAGATTTGTACTAGCATCATATTTAAGTTTAAAATTATGGTATCATGATGACCCTCTGTTAGACTCACCTGTGAGGCAGCGGTCTCCTCTGACGGGTTCACCAACACCACGGTCTCTAAAACATCACTCTGATACTGCAGAGTCCTCTGACCTGCAGACACACAGCAGGTAAAACTAGAGTGAGGACGACTCAGCAGAGAAAACTCAGTGAGGACGAGTCAGCAAAAAGAAAATGTGAGGACAACTCAGCAGAGAAAATTACAGTGAGGACAACTCAGCAGAGAAACTACAGTGAGGACGACTCAGCAGAGAAAACTACAGTGAGGACGACTCAGCAGAGAAAACTACGGCGAGGACGACTCACCAGAGAAAACTACAGTGAGGACAACTCAGCAGAGAAAACTACGGTGAGGACGACTCAGCAGAGAAAACAGAGTAAGGAGGACTTAGCAGAGAAAACGACGGTGAGGATGACTCAGCAGAGAAAACTACGGTGAGGACGAGTCAGCAGAGAAAACACAGTAAGGACGACTCAGCAGAAAAAAACTACAGTGAGGACAACTCAGCAGAGAAACTACAGTGAGGACAACTCAGCAGAGAAAACTACAGTGAGGAAAACTCAGCAGAGAAAACTGCAGTGAGGACAACTCAGCAGAGAAAACTGCAGTGAGGACAACTCAGCAAAAAAACTACAGTGAGAACAACTCAGCAGAGGAACTACAGTGAGGACAACTCAGCAGAGAAAACTACAGGTTTGAATCATTGTCAAAACAAACAGCTACATCATGGCGGTGAGCTGAGATTGTATGGCTTGAGATGTAGTGAACCTACAGGTTCTTTTTGAAAGTCAACCTCACTACATATCTGATATCTGTGTGACTGTTCTGGTTTACATGGAATGAAACAGCTACACTTAAAACAACCGTTAGCCACACGTGTTAGCTTTGATAAGAGGTTAGCAACATGTTAAATGTTGTTAACTGACAGTGGCGGCTTGTAAAAGGTAAAAATGTGAACCATGTTTCCCTCTACTTCGTTTAGCCTCTAGCTAATATTGTATATAATAATAATGGTGATATCATCGGCCCTGAAAGGGTCTACAAGGCCAACAGGTGTATTTTTACAGAGTACATGCATCACATGGTCGTCATAGGAACACAGAACATGAATGTTTACGTGATGGAGTAAAGTATACATTTTTCTGTTCTTATTTCTGACAGGATGAAGAATTAAATGAGTGTTTGAACTGTCAGGATGACGTCCTGTTTACAACACCTGCCAACGCCATCACTCTCTCCCTTTCACTCTCTCACGTTCTCTCTCTCGATCTCACCCTTCCCCTCTCTCCTCCCACCCAACCTTTTTAATCCTGGAAAACGCTCTTCTCTCAAACAATCACTACAAAAACGCTGAATAAAAACCCTTTACAATGGCGCCGGATTGGCTGTTGCTATGGAGACCTGTCAGGCTGTAGCTGCCAGCTGAGTTACACTGACCCAGTCTGAGACAAGGAGACGCATTGCAGCATTTCTGTAAGGGAGGGGAGAGGAGGGGGTGAGGGAGGGAGCTGCAACAACACATGGTGCAGGAGGTGAAGAGGAGCAGCATCTCGATGTGTATGAAGGAGATCCATTACTGAAAATCTATTTATAGACTCAACATCCTCCTACAGCACAACACACACACATAGGGACACACAGATAATGTCCTCTATCCATTGAAATGTGAGACTAAGATCACATTACTGAACGCGCCTCCTCTTCCTTCTCAGTGTGCTGGAGGAGGATGAAGAGGAGGAAGAGGAGGAGGTGCGTTCAGTAATGTTTGTGTGTTAACATCACGCCGGTAACTGAGGCGAGCAGTGAAGAAGAGTAAAGCTCCGCCCACTGAATGACATCAGTGTTCCGCCCACTCACACATGTCTCAGTGACCTCACGGTTTGTCAGGAGGTTTACAACCCGCCTCAGCTCCAGCTCTCAGCCTGCCTGTAGATTGACTGAAAGAGACAGCATTTCCAGCATGGAGACCGCCATCGATGGGACTCCAGCAGTAAACTGAAAACAAACAGCTGCTCTGAGACTGTTGACACATGCTCTGTACGCTTCCAGTATCCATGAGCTAGTAGATGGACTACAACAACAATGGGTGACGTTTGTTTGTTATTCATGTTTGTACAATAGTTTCAAAAACTACTGAAGCTTCATAATAAAAAAGCGTTCAGGTCTTCAGTCCTGAAGCTGCTGTGACACGTCTACGTGGTGTGTGTGCAGCGTGCAAGAGTTTGAAAACAGTCACAATATTCTGTGACCGGGGCGTCTACTCTTTAAATCTGTATCACCTTTACCGTCAGCTTGTTTGCAACATCTCCACCTCTCTATTCACATCAGCATAACACAGCTCTCTCTCTCTCTTCCTCTCTCCCTCTCTCTCTCACTCTCTGTCTCCCTCTCTCTCTCTCTTCCTCTCTCTCTCTTCCTTCCTCTCTCTCTTCCTCTCTCCCTCTCGCTCTCTCCCTCTCTCTCTCTTCCTCTCTCCCTCTCTCTTCCATTAACTTTGTCACAGAGCGCCCCCTGCAGGTCTGGAGTACCTCTGGTTAATGATAAATCATCAACCCCAAGCGTAGCCACTTCATTACCTACAAAGCTCCCCCACCCTCACTATCAGGACTGACGCAAACCTCCATGTCCAATGTGTGTGTGTGTGTGTGTGTGTGTGTGTGTGTGTGTGTGTGTGTGTGTGTGTGTGTGTGTGTGTGTGTGTGTGTGTGTGTGTGTGTGTGTGTGTGTTTTAATGTGATCTCAGCAGAGACAGACTGTTTCAACTGTTTCAACTTCAGCTGAAATCAGGTCACCCACATCCACTGAAGAGAGCAGAGAGCGAGCAAGCAGAGAGAGAGAGAGAGATTAGTCTGTAAATTCATCACAGGGAGCAGCCATGTTGGATTCAGTCCTTCCTCCATGCTGCACTTTTTCAGTCTGCCCAATCAGAAGCTACAGACCAATCACAGATCAGTGGGTGGGACCTCACTCCTAGAATCCAAACTCAACATCTGCCATCTTGCTTTGTAGCTATGCTAACAGGCTTTATGGAGAAAGATGAGAAGAATGAAAGTATGAATAAATTATGTTTCAACTTCAAACTGAGATGAAGGGGATTCTGAAGGTCTTGTGCTCGAATCAGATGTTCGTGGTTATATCTACGAGACGCAATATAGTGGCGGCTGCTACAGCCGAGACATAAGACCTGATTTTAGGCGGCGGTGAGGACGAGGAGCCCGGGCCGGCTCGAGCTGGGGCAGACTGGTAGTGTCGGTGCTCTCACTGTTTGCCTATGAACACAGACATAAACCCTTTTCACACATATGGAAATCTCCTGAAAATCTCCAGATATTTCCAGGAAGAGCTGTATGTGCGAACGCAACAGCCAAATGTTTTACTCCAATATTACCCGGAGTTTATCCTGCCAGACCCCTAGTATTTTTTCCGCAGATAATCTGGAGGAGCTCATGTGAGAATGCAGCAGGATATACTCCACAGATTTCAACTCGATGAAAAAAGAATGATGTTTATAAAGTGAGCGGCTAAAGTGTCTGCACGCGACCACTATGGTCTCCGTGCACGTAATTAAACGTCTGCATTCTGTTGGTCAGTATGTTGTTCTCCTCTCTTTTGTGGCTGTTGTCATTCCATTGGATTACACATAGCATTGATATAAGACAAATATTATATCTATATATTTTATAAGACAAATATTCTCATTATAACGTCGTGTAGTGGACTCTGTTGCTTCGGCCGCTACTTCCACGTTGTTTATTTACGTCACGTCTTACGTCGGGAAATCCCCCGTGGCCCCTCCCCTCTGACAGGAAGAGTCCCCCGCTGTGAGGAACATATGTGAATTGCTACTTGCTACTAGAATCTCCGGAGAAGTCCTCCTGTAAATATCTAGATATTATCCGGAGTGCATATGTGAAATCGGCTATAGAGTCTGTTTTCTGACAGGAATTTACAAGATGCTAATTCCTTCTGGAAGAAATCTCAGAATCTGTTGAGGAAACTGCCGAAACCTGACCTTAGTGGGAGTGGCCTGCGGTGCTGTGCATTCTGGGATTTGTTGTCTTTCATCCACATGAGCCAAAAAGACACTTTCTGCCTTCAAAATCCAACTTCAAAATGTATTTCACATTTCTAAATTCTAAACATTGTAGAGAGCTGTCTCCCCCCCCTCTCTAGAGTTGATGCTCACGCAGGTTGCCATGTGGTGGACACTGAAGCTTCAGTGTTTATCCAGCTCTGCATGGGTCTGTAAACCTTTCTGTGTTCTAACCTCTCTCCATTTTTCAAAAGTATCTCCAATATTGATCCTAGTTTGAGCACGTTTCTGCTCGTGGAGCTTATTAGAAACATGCAGAGGCTTTTTAGGTCGGGTACAATCACTTCTATCTGAACCACTTCTCTTGCCCGCTTCCATCGCTGCAACACCTGTTGACCTGATAACTGCTCTCATATCTGGCAAACCGAGGGGCGTCCAAAACGGCCGTGAGGGGGGTGACCTTAAAAGCGCCTACCTTCTCTGGTCCAAACAAATCCAGAGCATTCAGGACCAACCAAATCTCAGAATCTGTTGAGGAAACTGCTGTATGTGTTGAAGTAAATATGTCTGTAAACCTGACCTTAGTGGGAGTGGCATGCGGTGCTGTGCATTCTGGGATTTGTTGTCTTTCATCCACATGAGCCAAAAAGACACTTTCTGCCTTCAAAATCCAACTTCAAAATGTATTTCACATTTCTATACATATATGACTCAATATCAATACAGATTTATGTTTCAACGGGTCAAGTATCCCTTTAAGAGTGCATGGAAACATTCTGAGAGTCTCTCGACACACACACATAGTTTCTCAGAGCGGCCGAGAGGTTACCTCTCAGAGACGACAAACATTCAGAAAAAATAGCAAAACATGACACGACTGAAAAACGCTGCAAATGAAAGCAAACGGGTTGAAACAACTATATGAACATTGCTCGCTAAATTCAAAATATGTGACTCGTCTGTAGGGGCGCTCTGAGGAAGAGAGAGGAGCTCAGGAGTATCAGGACAGATCTCCAACCTCCTGATGGTTAAGAGGTCAAAGGTCAGATGGTGACTCTGGGAGGAGCAGTGTGTCAGTGACGGCGCGCAGTTAACCGTGCAGCTAGCTTGCGCTGCAGGCGTAAACGGACAGAACCGTGCTCAGCTGTCCCTGGTGTCTGTTCCACACAGCGCCCCCTGCAGGCCTTGAGCATCTCAATGGAGACTGGATTTGAAGAGTTTGTCTTGTTGATAACATCATATCCAGACGATAACATGCTGTTTATGACTTTTCATAGAGAGAAGAGATACAAACACACACACACACACACACACACACATTGTGACTGTAGGTACATTTTGTTACCAACACATTAATCTGAGCTCTCACTTTCAGATCTTAAATCTCTGCAAACACTTCAAACTAAGAGATAAACCTCCAAGAGACTCAAATGAAAGATTTAACTTTAAAGGAGCAGTATGTAACTCTGACCCCTAGTGTTTAAAATGGGTACTGCAGTCTAAATTCTAAACATTGTAAAGAGCTGTCTCCCCCCCCTCCTCTCTAGAGTTGATGCTCACGCAGGTTGCTATGTGGTGGACACTGAAGCTTCAGTGTTTATCCAGCTCTGCATGGGTCTGTAAACCTTTCTATCTGAACCACTTCTCTTGCCCGCTTCCATCGCTGCAACACCTGTTGACCTGATAACTGCTCTCATATCTGGCAAACCGAGTGGCGTCCAAAACGGCCGTGTGGGGGGTGACCTTAAAAGCGCCTACCTTCTCTGGTCCAAACAAATCCAGAGCATTCAGGAGCAGAATCTAAAGTTAGAAGGAGGACATACTGGCTGCTGCATTGTTGTCAGAGAAGCCAGCACTTCAACATAGCATGTTTCCTTAATGTCTGATCATATAGTAAGATACCTTTATCATCTCACTCACTACACATCTTACACACACACATACTAACACGCACACACACACTAACACACACACACACACACACACACACACACACACTAACACGCACACACACACACACACACACACACACACACACACACACACACACACACACACACAGAAATCAGAACCCTTCATAGACTAAACCCTGCAGATACTCCATCAGACCTGATCAGCTGATATTTCTTCACACTGAAGGCTAACAGAGAGAGAGAGATGAGACTTCAGAGCATCATGTGAGGAGGAAACATGAACAGAAAAAGGAGCACAATGACCTCAGTAGGCTATAATCTGCACTACAAACACAACGGACATGACGGCACTTGAACGCAGCACAAAACACAGTCTGATAATAAAGCAGAGCTCTCTGTTATCATGCAGCTTTGTGTGTGTGTGTGTGTGTGTGTGTGTGTGTGTGTGTGTGTGTGTGTGTGTGTGTGTGTGTGTGTGTGTGTGTGTGTGTGTGTGTCTGCAGGGTGAAGCTCGAGCCTCCGTCATAGATCAAACATTCCTCCGCTCAGAGAAAACCTGCAGTCTGCTCACCTCCAAACCTCCACACAGCTACACAAGGAGCGGACACACTCCACCCGGGGAGCACGGCAATCCTCCAGCCTGAGACGGACACTGAACCAGAGAATGACCGGAGACAGCGCGGAGACAGCGCGGAGAGAGAGCGCGGATCAGTGATGGAAGCAGCAGGAGGAGGAGGGCGGGGCTGGATGATGCTGCTGCTGCTGAGGATGAAGATGAGGATGAGGATGAAGGCTTGCTACAGTTCTACACCTACACTCTGCTAGCTGCTGCCTCGTGCTGCATTTACGGACCCGTCGAACATGGGAATATTATTCGTGACCCAGCTGCGTTCGCGTGAATCAGGAGAAAATGTAATAACGGTGTGTGATGGTGATTTAATGCAGGATGTTTACTCAGTAACGTCATCAGAAGAGGAAAAAAATATATCTACATTTCAATGTCATCATCTTATGAGATCAAATCTTATTAATAACAAGTTCATTGTTAGAGGATGTCCTCCTACATGCTGATCCTACAGCGGCCCTGAAGGTCAAAAAATAATTTATTTAAACGCAAAAATATTTTATTAAAAAAATCACAAAATGCCACATTGTGTGATAAAACATTAAAACATTTCAACTGTCCAATCACAGTGAAGTCTAACCCTTTTTTCTGAAGTGTTAATGACAGTAAAAATGTGTATAGCTCCTCCACAGTCAGCTAATGAGATGATGCACACAGAGACTTCATGTGTTCATAGAAGAAGACGACAGAGTAAATCTCATGTTATTAACTCTTTCACCTCCAGCAGGAACACTAAAGTTTCAAGTTTGCTTTTCTGAGAGTAGAGGTTAAACACACCGAGGTTACAGCCGGTTAAACGTTATGTGGAGAAATACTAGAGATGAACAAACAGAAGATTTGTGTTTGTTGGTGGGATTACGCCTGGAGTGAAGACTGTTCTGATTACTCATGTCCTCTGTGATAAACATGGCCTTTAATCCTCCAGTTAGAGCGTGCTGATGATGATGGTGTGTTCAGGGACATTCAGACAGCTGTCATTCAAACAGCAGCTGCTGGGTTTCAAAAAGTCACAGTTTGAATCACTGTCTGTCTACCATCACATCAATATCTCTATTATCTCACATATCAAACTATCATCTTTATTATCTACATCAAATTTTTCAGACACTTTTATCCAAAGCGATGAAAATCAGAGAGTAAGAACAACACAAGCAAAGAGAGAGAGGAGAAGACAACGTCAGGAAGTGCAAACAAACAGCTTTAAGTTTGATCAGACACACAGGTGCTGACAGGAAGTGACCAAAGGTGCTGACAGGAAGTGACCGGAGGCAGAGTACAGGTGCTGACAGGAAGTGACCAGTGGTGCTGACAGGAAGTGACTAGTGGTGCTGACAGGAAGTGACTAGAGGCAGAGTACAGGTGCTGACAGGAAGTGACCAGTGGTGCTGACAGGAAGTGACTGGAGGCAGAGTACAGGTGCTGACAGGAAGTGAACAGTGGTGCTGACAGGAAGTGACTAAAGGCAGAGTTCAGGTGCTGACAGGAAGTGACCAGAGGTGCTGACAGGAAGTTACCAGAGGCAGGACACAACATGGACAGCTGTTCTGAGTTCTAATCAGCATCAAAACCATCCTGAAAGTAATAATAATTGGGACGCTGGTGGCATAGTGGTTAGTGCGCGCGCCCCATGTATGGAGGCTGTAGTCCTCAACGCGGGCGGCCAAGGTTCAAGTCCAGCCTGTGGCTCCTTTCCCGCATGTCATTCCCCACTCTCTCTCCCTGGTTTCCAACTCTGTCCACTGTCCTATCTCTCAATTAAAGGCACAAAAAGCCCCAAAAACCACCGGGGGGCAACAGAGGAGAAGAGTCTAGTCAGCATCTTAGGACCCTGTTGTGAAGGTTGGATCAGACGCCTTTCATTGGCAGAGCGCAGTGGGCGGGAGGGAGTGTAGACCTGAATGAGAGAGTTAAAGTAAGGAGGAGCTGTTTTTGTGTCTGTTTTGTAAGCGAGCAGCAGAGTTTTAAATTTGATGTGAGCAGTAAGGAGCCAGTGTAAGGAGATGAACAGCGGAGTGACATGTGCTCTTTTAGGAAGGTTGAAGACCAGTCGTGCTGCTGCATTTTATATCATCTGCAGGGGTTTGATAGTGCATGTAGGAAGACCTGCCAGTAGAGAGTTGCAATAATCGATGCGTGAAGAGCCTGTACCAGGAGCTGCGTAGCGTGTTCTGACAGGTAAGGTCTGATCTTCTTGATGTTGTACAGGGCAAATTGACATGACCGGGCAATCGAGGCTACTTGAACCTTAAAAGTTAGCTGGTCATCAATCATGACACCCAGGTTCGTCTAGACTGTGTTATCTCACAGAGACTGACAGTATTAAGACAGAATCTGTCTTCTTCCGCTGATCTGCTGATTTTATGTTCTGTTTGACAACGTCTCCTCATCTGTGCAGCATGACACCTGAACGCCTCACAGCTTGACTTACTACACCCTCCTCTGCACACACAGTCCATACACACACACACACACACACACACACACGCACGCACACACACACACACGCACGCACACACGCACACACGCACGCACGCATGCACGGACACACACACATACACACACACACTCACTCACTCACGCGCACACACACACACACACGCACGCACGCACACACGCGCGCACACACACACACACACACACACATACATACTGCACACTGTCACAAAAATCTACACTTACACTGTTACAGTAAAACTCACTTTACAGTCACCAGTAGTGTGTGTGTGTGTGTGTGTGTCTGTGTGTATGAGGTCCAGATGAAGCCCCTCCCCCTCATGTGTGCAGATGCTGAAGGATCAATAACACCCTCTGAATTATTAATCAGCTCACGTTCATCTGAAACAGCAGCTCAGTTTAATGGGTCTTTAAATCAGAGCTTACACACACACACACACACACACACACACACACACATACATTGCACCATATCATCATCTGTACAACTTATGACATCATCATCTCTATACATGTGTCACCTGTTCTGTTTGTCTTCTTAACTCTCCTGATATCAGATCTTAGCGAGAGAGAGCGCACCTTTCTGTCAGCTCAGCATCACACACACACACACTCACACATACACACACACACACACACACACACGCACAAACACACACACACACACACGCACAAACACACACACACACACACACACACACACACACACACACACACAGACAGACAGACCGACAGACAGACAGATGTGACACTGACCGTGGACGTCTGAGGAGAACGTGGCCGTGTGTCTGCTCTCAAACAGCTTCAGCTCTTTGTTCAGGTCACAAACCGTCTCATCCACGCTCCAGGAACGAAGACCTGTTCAAAGACACAACACGGGGCTTAAGTTTTACATTCAGAGGAAGATTCATTTCATATTTCAGCCAGGTATCTGTGTGTCTGACATCAGAGTGAGTCTCAGAGTGAGTGTCAGCAGCTACCTGAAGTCCAGTTATGAGGCCAGAGTCAGGACTTACAGTCAGCAGATACCTGAAGTCCAGTTAAGAGGCCGGAGTCAGGACTCACAGTCAGCAGATACCTGAAGTCCAGGTATGAGGTCAGAGTCAGGACTCACAGTCAGCAGATACCTGAAGTCCAGGTATGAGGTCGGAGTCAGGACTCACAGTCAGCAGATACCTAAAGTCCAGTTATGAGGCCGGAGTCAGGACTTAAAAAGTTTGATCTGTATATCACTCGTTAGTGTCGTTACACGTTTCTCCCACGTTTGACGCGACATTGAAGACGTTTTTCAGATCAGAGTTAGGGATAGATGTATTTTATTCTAAAGATTTTTATGGTATTATTTTGTATGGATGGTTGTCATTCAAGTAGGACAGCGACAGACGAGGAGAGTCAGTGGGAACATGAATAAAGGTGTTGTCATTCAGAACACATCTGAGGTGTGAACTGTGGACTTTGACTTCTTCTCCTACAACACGTCAGAGGGAACATCAGTGCTAAATATGTTTCACATGAGCTGTGTCAAAATCATTACTATGCAGATGGTACTCAGCTATACATATCTATGAAGCCTGATGACAACAATCAGTTATGTAAACTAGAAGTGTGCTTGTTATTGTGCTAGGCCCTAAAAACCTCAACAAGACTTTATCTAATGATATAACTGTACTTAATGACATCAGCCTCTAGCACCACTGTTAGGAGTCTAGGAGTTATATTTGATCAAGATATACAGTCTGTAAATGTACTATGGGAGGTAGAGCATTCAGTCATCAGACCTGCTCGTGGTACCTACGGTCTCTAAATGTACTATGGGAGGTAGCGCCTTCAGTTATCAGGCCTGCTCATGGTACCTACGGTCTCTAAATGTACTATGGGAGGTAGAGCCTTCAGTTATCAGGCCTGCTCATGGTACCTACGGTCTCTAAATGTACTATGGGAGGTAGCGCCTTCAATTATCAGGCCTGCTCGCGGTACCTACGGTCTCTAAATGTACTATGGGAGGTAGAGCCTTCAGTTATCAGGCCTGCTCGCGGTACCTACGGTCTCTAAATGTACTATGGGAGGTAGAGCCTTCAGTTATCAGGCCTGCTCGCGGTACCTACGGTCTCTAAATGTACTATGGGAGGTAGCGCCTTCAGTTATCAGGCCTGCTCGCGGTACCTACGGTCTCTAAATGTACTATGGGAGGTAGCGCCTTCAGTTATCAGGCCTGCTCGCGGTACCTACGGTCTCTAAATGTACTATGGGAGGTAGAGCCTTCAGTTATCAGGCCTGCTCGCGGTACCTACGGTCTCTAAATGTACTATGGGAGGTAGCGCCTTCAGTTATCAGGCCTGCTCATGGTACCTACGGTCTCTAAATGTACTATGGGAGAAAAGGTCTTCAGTTATCAGGCCCCTTTCCTTTGGAATCATCTACCAGTCATGGTCCGGGAGGCAGACACACTCTGTACTTTTAAGAATGGACATACTTTTTGATAAAGCTTATAGTTTGGGCTAGCGCAGGTATGGACCAGGTCCCAATACTGCTGCTGTAAAATGTAGGCTAA